GTTATAAGGTCAAGAGAAACTGTTCCCAGATTTAATTCTCCAGGACTGAGCCTGAGCCAACAAGCCAGAAACCTCTGTTATATTTTTGAATCAGAACTGAACTTTAGGGCTCATGTGGGGCTTGTCACCAACTCTTTATCATTTTAAAAATATTGCTAGAGTGTGACCATTTTTCACTCAGAGTGACAGAGAGATTATTGTAGAATACATGGTTTTATATCCCGCAGAGTGGACTGCTGTAATACTTTCCTATCTGGTTGACCCAAAAATTGTGATAAATCAGTTACAATTTGTTCAAAGCCCTGCTGCCCATATACTGATCCGGACCAGAGGAAGAGCGCACATTACACCTGTCTGAAAGTCATTACTTTGGTTGCCTGTCAGTTTCTGTTCTGATTTTTAAAATCTTTTACTGGTTTTTAAAGCACACTAATGTATGAATTGATACAACCTCATAGATCTGCTGGCGTGAGTCTTTCAGTTGTCCCAAAGTATTTAGTGAGGTAGTTTTTAAGGTAAATGGTCTTATACTTGTATAGCACATTTCTAAGAATTGATGCACACTCAAAGCGCTTTACACTATTTCCCAGTCACCCACTTGCAAACATTCACACACCAGTCATATACAGTAACCGGGAATGACCAGGGGTTCAGCGTCTTGCTCAATGATACGTCCACATGTGGCCTAGAGAAGCCAGGGACTGAACTGCAGACCCTACGGTTGGGGAGTGACCCGCTCTACCTCTTGAACCATAGCTGCGCCCTTTATGCTGGGTTGAAAGAACTGATGTTTGGCTTTTATTTGGGGTTTTTATTAGTCCTTCTTATACTTTTTACTTGTCATTGTATCTTATGTATTTGACTTACTTTTTATTTATTTTAATTTCATTTTCATGATTGACTTAAAAATGTGTCATTTTCCCCCAATTTCCTTTGAATCACATTAAGAAGGTACTATATGAATAAAGTTTGATTTGGTTTACATGCAGCCCATACCTGCATAACTATGGAGTATAGCAGCCTAATGTACAAAGTCAGTACAATGTACTGTATTCTACAAAGACACAGGTTTATTCCATCCTACTACTTTTGCTTTGGCAGTAACATACTGCCTCTCTTTCCCATCAAATAATGGTCCAGTTGAATGGGAACTGTGGCTGTTACTGACCACACTAAAAGCAATTTAAACAAAATTGACCTGTCATTTGTCAAATTCTGTTTTTCACCAGCCCAGACAGCAGTGTACCTGTATACTGACTCCGGAACAAACCGTCACCAATCGCAGTGAGATTCTAGACGAGCACCTGCTGCGTGAAGCCTTCATTGGAACCACTTACCTGGCCCTGCGGGCTGCGATGTCCATCAGCTCAGACCTTTCCTCACCAGGGATTCTGGCCAGCTCTTTGTTTATGCTTTAAACATCTTCCATCTGAACTGGTGCTTCTGCCCTCTTAGCAACACCTAATACAACAACTATAACTTCTTTAAAATTTATCACTGATTTTTCAGATTCTTTTTGGCAGCAACCAACAGCCAGGTGACCGTTATTAGAATGCAGACTGTGACCCCAGAAGTTTGTGGAGCCTCTAGGATTATTTTGAACAAATGGACCAGAACATACTCTGTGGACCAAATAGACAAGATAATTCAGTGCTGTTCGGCTGCATAACATGTCAATTTCCATGTGGACCATTCAACTGCATTAAATAGTTTGCTGTTTTCTTTGGCTCATTTTACCTTAGAAAACAAATGAAAATTAAATCCCTTCTTAGGGAAAAAGAGTTTCCAGGACTGGCAACAGGGATATTAAGTTGGTCTGTGGATGCTGTAAATGAGAATTAAAGATGGGAACAAAGACAAATGCCAACAAAACAGTGTGAAGGAGGTGCTGAGTGGGATGAGAAGGATTACTGGTTACAAGACACCGGACCGGGTTGGGGAGGAGAACAAAAATAGAGTGAATGATTTAAGCCTGTTTTTTAACGGGTTCATTGTAGAGACCAGATGAACCTCCCCCCTCCTCCTCCCAGGTTGACAGGCCTAATGAGATCTCTCCACAACTGTGTGACTGATCACACTGCCATTCGCCACAAATCATCACACCAGGGTTCTCATCTTCAGCCCCAGTCTGCCTTCTCAGGTCACCCCTGCCTCTGGATTGACTACCTTACCATAAAGGGCAAGAAGGAAAAAGAACTTTCAGAAATCTAACGTGAGATGAAAGATCTGATAAAGAATTTCCATTAGAGAAAGTGACATTGACAGAGCCCTACAAATGGCAGAGGATCAATATCAGCAACAAACTGGACTCATCTGAGAACACTGAGGATCATAAGAGGGTAGGCTGTTTGCTTAGGAAGAAACTACAGGTTATTGCACAGCCTGCCTTTTTTGGTATGCTTCAAGGCAGACATTGTGAAGCACCTCAAGAGTAGGGCTGAATTTGTCACTGAGCTTGAGACAAAAAACAAACAAACAAAAAATGCTATAAAAATGTCTCAACATAGACGTGTTTAGACAGTAACACAAATTCAAGGTGATGATGCAGCAAAAGCAAAACACAGGCTGGCACAAGACAACTCAATCAGTGCTCTAGTCTCAGTTTCCAAATAGTGTCTGCAACACAAACTATTACAACAGACACATGAAGAAGTCAATATAAACAGTAGACACTATGAAAACAAAAACAGCAGACTGCCAGCTCCAAGCAATGTAAACACCATCATCTGCTCTGCGCGGCAGGAACTGTGTCGCAGCGTGATTTTGATTGCTATCTTTATCACCATATCCAACCTGTGATTGCTGCAGTATTTAAAGAGTTGCAGTTACCCATACTATACCTACCCACAAGATAAAAATAATATTAAGATCTGCTGGTCCTTGTCACAAGGTACTGGTGGAAAAATTGATTATAAATTCACATGAAATTATTCTGTGATATTTATATTTATCTGTGAATATGCTGCTGAAGGCGTGAAGGTGGGATGTGATTACTACGTAGATGTAGGAGGCTACAAGTAATGTTGAGGTGTTTAAGTCAGAGATTCGTAGATTTAAAACATAGATGCACAATTCAATACTAACTGTGCAATTAGGTTTTTAAAAAAAAATTGCCACTTCTAGCATGTAGGATGCAGCTTCCCATGCCATATGTATGCAGTGTGTGTTTCTGCAGAGCTCACACACAGACTGGAACAAATTCTTGCAACACACCTCGATAGCTTGTAATGATAAGAATAGAACAGAGATTTCACACTTTTCTCTGTATACGTGTACACATTCAAACCTGCACATAGAGTTATGCCTGGTTTTCACAGGTTGTATTTAATATGAACTACAATACTGTGTTCAGATATATCCTGTGTATAGATCTGAATAGTCTCTGGACACTTTTGAGGCAAAGCTACTATTTATATCTCTATATGGCACAAAAATATCTGTATTCAGATTCTTATTGGAAGTGGGCTTGGCATAACCCAGACATTGCCATAAATTGACTATATATCTTTATTTTCTCTTAAATTTTCTGCTTTACTGCCAGTTCTACTCCTCATATACAAGTACAAGTTTAGCTGGCAACAAAATACATAAAATATCCCAATTTACATAGGCATACCTATGCATGATGTGTATTTGAATCCCACCTTCAGAAAAAGTTTTACCGAGTCTAAATAAAAACTTGATAACTGCTAATGATCCAGGTGGAAATCAATAATGAAAATAAAAGCACAAGTGCTACAATTTAGTCCATGACAGATGTGACACCCAGATCAATTTGAAGTTGGTTTGAAATGCCCACAATAACAAATTAGAGGGTAATTCAAAAATCTTTACAAAAGGACATTAAAATAGTGGACTTCAATATTAAATAAATCACACCTGTGGAACAAGGGTCAAGCTTTAAGCCAACAAAACTGATAACTATTATCCTAGTAAACCTGCATAAATGTGGATGCTATTTCTCTCCATTCAGATATCATTATCTGCTCATATCCAAATAATGTATGAAATTTTAAATGACTTTTTTGTATAGTGTCACTTGTGTTATATATTTTCCTTGCTTCTTTAACCAGGCGGGTCTTCTTCATTGAGATCAATGATATCTCATTTCACTCACTGGCTGTCTCTGGCTGCTTGTATCCAATTTGAAACCCTGCTGCTGGTGCATCAGGCTGCAAAGGGGCCACTGCCCACATACTGACCCTCTAGGCCATGGACCCACCCACCTATCAGCACTCTGCATGCTGTTGCGATAATCCAGTTAGCTGTCCTTTCCCTGGTATGACCTGGCCACCCTTCCATCCAGACTACCCCCTCCTCTACCTCCTGGGGCCTTATAGTGGCGTGACCTCATCTCACTTTTACAAGTTTCATTTACCACTCAGTATGTTCTAGAGCCTTTCCTGTATTTGTGCACCAATGTGAACTTTCACACAATAATCCATTCTACCTTATATTTACCTGTTTATAAATGTACTGTCCTTGCTTGTTTGGGTTTTGTAGGTCATAAGAATTCCGTTAGAGTGTAAGTGTGACTCATGCTCCCCAATACTACAACTTTCTTGACTTTTTTGACTTTTCGCTACTGCACACATTTCATGTCCTTCCAGGTGAGACCATCTGCTAAATGTATAAAATGGAAAAATGGAAATGTAAAGCTGCAGCTCTGCACTTGCCAGATCTACATGACAGCCAGCTCACGGGGGAGCTCATCACTACATTCATATCCCAACATTCTGCTGGGACCATGACAGCACAGTCAGTGTAGGTGAACTGTATTCAATACATGGGTGTCCTGAATAGTAGTACTCTGTGAACTTCGTGAACAAGTCAGGCAGCAGGGAGATGGAGACATCTGTTCTTATGCACACATTCAGACAAAACAGTGTGGTATTTTCCAGAAAGACTCAAGTTCAGTAGCAATATAAAAGTAAATAAATAAACACACACACACACACAGCCTGTGCATAGACTCATAAATCATGCCTGCATCCTTGTACCTGGCAATGAAGGAGTGCCGTGGAGTGAGGCTGGGGTCATGGTCAAGCACTCGCTGGGGTGAAAGATGAGCTGATAGGGTGATTCCAGAGCCTTGGAGGAGCAGTGTGACGTGGGCAGGAAGCAGCTCAGGGGCCTCAGAGGTGAAGGTGATGAAGAGAGGCTGGCCATAGCTGTAGACTTGGTGACCCAGGAATTTCTCTAGCAGTGGGGGGGAAAGGTTGGATGTTAGAGAGGAGAGTGGAGTCAGCTTTGATGTCAGAGCAAACCCTCTGCACATCACAGAGATGGAGTCGTACGTGTGCAAGTGTGTTGTGATTAGAAGCTAAATTAGTATTTTTTTTGTACATTTAGAAATATTTTGTTTGGTCCTTACTCTTAAAAGTTGTACTTTTGATATATTAAGATTGTTATGTGCCGTTTGCACCTGTCAGTGAGCGAACGAGAAAGAGGCGGACCCAGGCAGCCGACTTTGATGCAAGCAGTGATTTATTATGTACAGTGATGATGAGAGTAAAAATACACAGAGGGAAATAGTGCGTAGTCCTGTCGATGAGTAGTAGCCGGGTGTTTGACCAACAGCAGGAGGCGAGGAGATGGAGAGCTGGGCCGAGCTGCATAGGCTGGGTCACTCCTGGGCTGGTCTGTGGTGATGGTGGCTACTGAAGGTAGAGACAGAGAGATGAAGGCAATAGTGGAACAGATAGGCGACTGAGCATTGACCTGCCTGGGAGGGGAGAGTGGAGCCATGGTCCGGAGGAACAGTCCATGGGGAGAACACAAAACAGTAGCTGGCTAGGGAATAATAATATACAAAAAAAAAACGCAAAAGCACGGAGAAAAAATGGCCTAGAGACAAGAACGAACTGGCAAGTGACTGAGGAGTGAAACCAGGTAATATAGTGAGCAACCTAATCAAGTGCAGCTGGTGATAAGGGAGTGAGGAACAGGTGAACGTGATTAGTGT